GCCATTTGGGGAGTGAACCAGTGAATGGAAGATCTCTTTTTGTCTGCCTCTCCCTTTTCCTATGTAACACTTTCAAATAAGTTTAAAAGAAAAAGAAATAGGAGAAGAAAAAGGAAAAAGGAAAAAACAGGAGTTTCACTTTATACTGGGGCATAACTGACCTGCAGGCAACAGTGCTGTCCCCTAAAACACATATTATAGTCATGCAATGACTACATTCTTCCAGGCTGAAATGACATATCACACACAGGATGTTTTTGTCTAAATATTTTGGGTTTCAGCCACATCTTTTTTTTTAGTCTTCACATACCTTATATTATTTTTAGAGGTATGTGAGGTAAAGGAGAAGTTTTAAAATAGGGTTGCCAAGAGAAAGTGACTAATTTCCTAAAGCACAGGAAAACCTACCCAGACCCAACCTTGGCTAATAAAAACTACGCATCTAGCTTGCCACCCCCCAACTTCATTTAGACAAGCAATTCTCAACTCTCACCTTTTATTGAGTACTGGAGGGCACAGTACATACTCTACATGAAAGTATGTTTTACCAAACTTGCAGCCCTTTAGGGGGAAGTATGCAGATGGAATCTCTGAAAGCTGGGGAAAGAAGGCTCATTCTAAAGTCTAATGTTGAAAGTATTGTATTTAAAAACATTTAAAACATCTGACCTCATTTTTTTTTTATCAGATTTTACATTATATTACCCAAACTTTAAATGCTGGTCATTTTGAAACTGATTGCCTGAGTATGGAAAAGACTAGAAGGAAAAATGTGTTCTTTTGAACGGGAGGAATACATACAAGATGAAAAGAACATTCTCAAAAAAGGTAATTTTGTCCACAGCAAAAATTCACTGTATATGAAAAGATTTTTAAGTCTTCGCAACAACACTCTCACATTAAAGGCAATACCACAGAGGTTTCAACTAACTACAAAATATAAAGTTAAACCTAAGATTCAGTGTTTTGAATCTGCCCAATACACTTTTTGATTAGGCAAAGTAACTAATATCTCACAACATCTTAAAAAAAAATGAAAGAAAATTTTAGGTCTGGTGCCTTGGCTCAACTGGCTAATCTTTCACACCTAAGCACCAAGATCTCACATGGGTGCCAGTTTGTGTCCCGGCTGCTCCACTTCCCATCCGGCTCCCTGTTTGTGGCCAAGAAAGTAGTTGAGGACGGCCCAAAGCCTCGGGACCCTGCACCTGCAGAGAAGACCTAGAAGAAGTTCCTGGCTCCTGGCGTTGATCAGCTTAGCTCCAGTCATTGTGAGCATTTGGAAAGTTAACCACTGGATGTAGGATCTTTATTTCTGTCTCTCCTTCTCTCTGTAAATCTGTTTCCACTAAAAATAAATAAATAAACAAATAAATCTTTAACAAAAAGAAAGAAAATTCTAAAAAGATAATGAATGTCAACAAGATGGCTGACCAGTGAGTTTCTGGTGCTTCTCCCTCCATGACAAAGGACCTGAACAAGGTGAACACACAGCAACAGCCCTGGAATGTTCCAGGCAGAGCCCCGAAGTGCGTGTGTGGGGGTGAGGATGGGGGGGAGGTGGCAAAACTGCAGGCACACCATGGCCTTATAAGGAGAACAAATTTTAGTATCCACCATTTCACTTTCGAAATCAACCCGGAATCAAAAAGGACTTTGCCCTGAGCCCAGTTGGGGAGCTGGTGACTATACTCACACATTTCCTTGGAGAATGGTCATATCCCTGACCAGGCTAGCACTGTACAAACCATCATGAAACCCCGCCCACCCAGGGAACTGCTGAGCAGCCAGGCAGATGCCCCCAGCAGTTTGGCCAACTCAGTCCAGGGAATCGGGCAGGTAGCACCTCCCATCTTTACACTCCCTAGGAACAAAGTTCATTGAGAAGTGAATGATCTGCACTGAAAATGACAAAATATCTGGCCTGGTACAACAGCTCGATTGGCTAATCTTCCCCTATTGAGCATTGAGATCCCATACGAGCGCCAGTTCATGCCCTGACTGCTCCACTTCCCATCCAGCTTCCTGCTTGTGGCCTGGGAAAGCAGTGAAGCATGATGGCTCAAGGCCTTGAGACACTGCACCATGTGAGAGACCCAGAAGAGGCTCCTGGCTCTTGGCTTTGGATTGGCTCCGATCTGGTCGTTGTGTCCAATTGGGAAGCAAACCAGTGGATGGAAGATCTTTCTCTTTGCCTCTCCTTCTCTCTGTAAATCTGTCTTTCCAATAACAAATAAGTAAATTTAAAAAGAAAATCGCAAGACCTGGAAAGACATCCACGAATATGGTTTGGAAGACTTATACTGTTAAAATGTTTATATTTAAAGAAATTTACAGATTCAACACAATTTCTACTAAAACACCAATGATATTCTCCACAGAAATGTAAAAAGAATCCTATGAAATCACAACTGACACCAATATCCAAAGTAATTCTGTGGAGAAAGCAAAGCCACAGGCATTATAAACTGGACTTTAAAATGCTGTTGTTTCTTTGCTGTCACTGAGTTTCTGAAGCTCCTTGTAAATCCTGGCTATTAGTCCCCTATTGGTATGTAGTGTGCAAAGATTCTCTCCAATTCTGTTGGTTGCTTTTTCAATTTGTTGATTATTTACTTTGCTGTACAAAACCTTCTTAGCTTGATTGGCTGCTATCAAAAGGCAAATGGGAGCAAATGCTGTTGGGGGTGAAGGGAAGGAGAGTCTTCATACCCTCCGGGTGGGTATGTAATTCACAAAGCCATTTCTGAAAACAATATGGAGATTTCTTATAAACCCACCATATTATCCAGCAATCCCAGTGCCAGGTATATAAGATGAAGGAATTGAAATTGACATGCCAAAGAGATACTGACATTTGTATGCTTATGGCAACATTACTTACAATAGCCAAAATATAGAATAATGTGGGTATATATCCATAGATGAATGAATAAAGAAAATGTGGTATATATACAGACAATGAAATATTATTCAATCATAAAAAATGAAATCCTATCATTTGTGGCAACATGGATATAACTAAAAGACATTAAGTGAAGGTACAGAAAAATGAACATAACATATTTTCATTTATACATATGTTGTAGCTAAAAAGGTGATTGCAAAAAAAAATAGAGAATAGAATAATGGTTAACAGAATCTGGAAAGGATATGGAGGAGGACGGAGTTGGAACAGGAGTAGTAATTTCTAATGCTACATAGCACAGCAGAATAACTGTGTTTGGCAACAATCAGTTGAATTTTTTTTTAAAAGAGAGATTTATTGATCGGACAGGCAGAGCAACAGTGACAAAGAAGGGGAATAGTGGGGACAGAGAGAGTTCTTCCATACCCTGACTTACTCTCCAAATGGACAAAATGACCAGGGCTGGGCCAAGAATTCCACCCAAGTCTCGCACATGGACAGCAGAAGCCCAAGCACATGAGCCATCTGCTGCTGCTCTCCCAGAACATTACCAGGGAGCTGGACTGGAAGCAGAGAAGCCAGGATGTAAGCCAGCTCTCCAACATGGGATGCCGACATTGCAAATGGTTAGCTTGATCTATATTGCACCACAGGCTGGCCCCAACCAAATATTTCAAAACAGCTAGCAGAAACGATTTTGAATGCTCCCAACACAAAGAAGTGATCAATGTATGAGGTCATAGTTATGCAAATTATTCTCATCTGATCATTATCCCGATAAACACATATGTATAAATTATTCAGGCATCAATTAAAAGCAAATTATATTTTTAGAGAATTTAACAGAGCTGCAAAAAAAGCATGTGTTAACATATGTGGATTAAAGTGTATACTGCACCATTATTTCTCTAATTCTCAATGGCATGCTTCCTCCACAAATGCCAATTTATTGTTCTATTCCTCTCCAGCCCCCTTGAAAAGTGGCAACTCTTGGTCATGCTTAAACAATCCTAACTCTACTGTAAAAGTTTCATGATAAAACCGTCAACTTATAGGTTGCACAAAGATAGAATTCTACACAAAAAATACATTGAACAACCCATTGCTAAAATGACAGAACCAAATTACCACCTATTTGTATTAACCCTGATTGTAAATGGCTTAAACTCATCAATAAAACATCATAGATTAGTAGACTGGATTAAAAACCAAAACCCATCTATTTGTTGCCTACAAGAGACACATCTCGCCAACAAAGATCAGCATAAACTATATCTCATGGATTTTGATTTTTTTTGTTAGTTTCACCTCTTCAAAACTGTTTCTTCTGATTAAATTCATCAGTGACTCATAGATCATACAGGAGTATCATTTTCTTCAAGAAGATTCTTGATTTTCATTTCTTCAGCGACACTAAGTGATTCAGTAGCATGTTATTTAATTTCATAGTGTTGTTAATTTCTTTTTTTTTCTTCCTGTTGTTGATTTTATTTTGTGGCTTTTCATTTAAAGGGATGTATAGTAATTGTGTAATGGAGACTATCATATCCAGATGTGAGGATACAATGCAGTATGCATCTCTACTTCCAGATAATGATGGACTCCCAATGAAACTGTTACTATGTCTTGACAATAGGATGCAGGACTCTGCCATTGTCCATGCCTGCAATGATGGACATATGACTATGTATGAACTCAGTGAGGGGGGATGGAATTAGGGAAGGGATAGAGGAAATCCCAGAGCCTATGGAACTGCATCATAAAATGATAATAATAAAAATAAGTAAAATTTTAAAAAAAGAATTCTACACAAAAGCCAGCTGAATTTTGTTCAGTAAAGAGCAAAAGAGCAGGGCCATGCACATGTGACCTTTGCTTCCTCATGGTGTTCATTCCAGGTCAGAGAACCATGTCTTTTTTTTTTTTTTTTAATTTTTATTCTATTTTAGAGAAACAGGTCTCAGTACCTCTCACCTCAGCAGTGCACACTGCCCAAACTGTCAGGTGAACAGAAAGACAGAGCTGTAAGTAGGAGCATGGAAAGAGCAAAAAAAGCATTTGTAGGCACCATTAACCTTTTTTTTTTTAATACCTGCAATCCGTTAAAAGATGGAACAAAATACACTCCTTCAGAATCTTTCAAACTTTTGGCCATTTTTTCAGTTTCAGCAGCATCTGTGAAAAGATCTGCAAAAACAAACAAAACCCTAAAGCAAAAGCAAAGGAGGTAAAACAGAATTATGCTCCATGACTACTATTATCTGCATCCACATTTCTTATGAATAGGATGTAAACTGCTGCTCCCCTCAGGGCTAACCCACAAGCATGGGTCCTAGTACTAAGCCCTCACACTGCAGGGGCTCCTGAGCCCCACTCAAGGCTGTCTTGGTAGATAGCAGGTACTATTATTCATTGAAAGATACTGGGGTTACATAAACAATTTTTCACAAATATGTTCTGGGGGAATTAAAGAATTATTCTTCCAATAAAAGAGTCATCCTCCTCTTCTGATGAAAGGAACATCTTATTTATTCTAGCCAGGAGAATCAGAGGGGGTACCACTCCACGTTACAAGTCCAGTAAGAGCCAGGAACACATACTAAAAATAACTAAACAATAATGGTACAAAAGCCTATCCATTCACTCAACTTTTTACTGATGCATACATCTGAAATGTACAAATCTTAACAGTAGAGCTGGACGAATTTTCACAGCATGACTGTACCTAGATGTAACTCAACAGCTCAACAGCAAGCTTCTGATATCCACTCATTCTTTTTATGATTTATCTATTTAAAAGACAAAGTTACAGCAAGTGAAGGAGAAAGAGATGGAGAGAGGGACAGAGAAAAAGAAATTGACCTCCCCTCTGTTGGTTCATTCTCCAAATGGCTCTGATGGCTGGGCTGGGCCAAGCCAAACCAGGAGCCCAGAATCCAGCATTCTCACATGGGTGGCAGAGGTCAAGTACTTGGACCATCTTCTATTGCCTTCCCAGGTACATCAGCAGGGAGCTGGATCAGAAGATGAGCTGGGATTTAAAGCAGAGCTTAAACACTGTGTCACAATACCAGCCATGTCATTAATTCACATTGTTATATGCAGTTGCACTCCATTCATTCTTTTTTTTTTTAAAGACTTATCTATTTTTATTGGAAAGTTAGATATACAGAGAGGAGGAGAGACAAAGGAATATCGTCCATCCGATAATTCATTCCCCAAGTGTCCGCAATGGCCAGAGATGAGCCAATCTGAAGATAGGAGCCAGGAACTTATTCCTGGTCTCCTACTTGGGAGCAGGATCCCAAAGCTTTAGGCTGTCCTTGACTGCTTTCCCAGGCCACAAGCAGGGAACTGGATGGAAAGCAGGGCCGCCGGGATTAGAACCGGTGCCCCTTTGGGATCCTGGTGCATGTAAGGCGAGGACTTTAGCCACTGCTCTACTGCGCCAGGCCCGTACTCCATTAATTCTGAGGTGCCTATATTTTATTTATTTATCCATTCTGGTAGGATGAATTTTGGTAGTTTCCAGAAATTGGCTAATAAAAAGAGGCCACTCTGAATACTTGCGTGGATTTGTTTGGACATATAAATGTACTTCTTTATTAATGTCACAGGGTTGAAATGCTAGCTGCAATGTCATTTTAAAAAAGTAAACGTATCTTTTCATTCACTCTTCACAACTTTTAAAATGTAATTTAATTTTTTTAGGGGCCAGTGCAGTGGTTCATCAGGCTAATACACCACCTGCAGTGTGACGTACCATATGGGTGCTGCTCTGAGTCCTAGCAGCTTCACTTCCAATGCAGCTCCCTTCCTAAACAGCCTAGGAAGAAGGTGGAGGATGGTTCAGTCCTTGGGCCCCTGCACCCATGAGGGAGACCTGGAAGAAGCTTCTGGCTCCTGCCTTTGAATCAGTTAGCTCTGGCTTTTGTGGCCATTTGAGGACTGAACCAGTGGATGAAAGATTTTTTTTCTCTATCTGTTCTTCTTTCTGTAAATATGCCTCTCAAATAAAAAATGGAACATAATTTTTTAAAAGATTTATTTATTTATTTATAAGAGAGAGACACACACAGAGATATCTTCCATCCACTCATTCACCCCTCAAATGGCTGCAACAGCTGAGTCTGGGCTGGACTGAAGTCAGGAGCTAGGAGTTCCACAGGATTAGCAGATGCACAAGCACTGGGTCATACTCCACTGCCTTCCCAGGGCATTGGCAGGGAGCTTCATCAGATACGGAGCAGTGGGACTTCAACTGATGCTTGGATGTGGCTGCTGCCATTGTCGGCCCGGCCCCGTTGGCTATGAAGCCTTCACACTGAGGACTAACATCAGCAGACACTGCCAAGCAGCTTTTCAAAGTGCTGCATCGATTTAAGGCTGCCTTCAGCAGCATTAGCCTTCCTGGTGCCCCACATTCTTGCCAATGACTGGTGTGCCCATATTTTTCCTGTTCTTTTGGTGATACTGCCTGGTGGTTGACGTCACATACCACTGTTAACAAGTGAAGCTGAATACCTTTTACTTGGCCATGGGCTACCCTTTGTGTGAAGCGATTCCTGAATGGACAGAGCAAGACTGATAGCACAGAACAGATTTTTAAAAGCTTGGGAATTGGTCTTAATAAACATTGCTGGCTTTGCACATAACTGGCTTAAAATACATATAAGGTGCAACCATGGTAAAACCCAAGGATCATTCAGTGTAATTACACACTTTCCTTAAAATGCATACATTTCAAGCATTTGGCCAAAATAAAATCAAAATGTCTAACAGTTTAAAAAAAAAAACCCTGACATTACAAAGCAAATGGTGGTTTTAAAATGTATACCTTTGAAAGAAATCATGTTCAAATATCTACATTTGTAATTCAAGGTAAGATGTAGAAAAAGATACTGGATAGCTGCTTTGAGAAAACTTCGGTAAGAGTCAAAGAAACCGAGAGAGGGAGAGGCAGACTCAGCTTATTCCTATTCTTCGCTGCTGGTTCCTTCCTTTGCTTTAACAATGCTTCTGAATAACCTTTGGCTGCAGCTGTTCTCAAACGAGCCTACTGCCAGCAAGCTTTCTGTAGTGAGCACATGGTACTGTCTCTCCCCGCAGACACACGAATCCTGGCTGGAGGGAGCAGGAAGGACATCCGCAGACTCCTCTCCCAGACAGAGGGAGCACTGACAGGCCCACCAAAGTGCTACCTCCTCATCCAGGCTCAGGACCACACCTAAAGCCCCATGCCTGGGTGCAAATATGGACGCTCCAGGAGAAGCCCCTTCTCTCTGAGGAGCAGTGGGTGGGGTCTCCACAGGAGTTTTCAGATCTTTCCCCCCATTTTCACAATCTCCTGGTAGCAGCCCTGCAGCCCAGCTGCACTGGCATTGAACACTATATGCCAACATCCTAATGGGAGACCCTGCTGTTTGATTAACCTCCTCCTTGTCTTCCCCAGCTCTCCTCTCCCAGGCACCAGGGATTCAAGCAGCTGGAGTGACAACAAAGCACCAGAGGCAAACAAAACTCCAAAAGCATTAAAGACATCCCCACTTCCTCCCACCTTCTGTATCCCCTCCATTTCCCTATGTCTGTCAACCCTCCTGCTACTAAGCTGGGGAGGTACAAGTACTAGCAAAAGTACTCAATATAGTAGAGAAGCATTGCTCTCTGAGCAGAACGCACGGTGAGAATCAGAAGTGCCAAGTAAGTCCCGAGAGAAATGAGCTCCAGAAAACCACCTGACAAAGTTTTTATGAACTCCCAGGCTCTATCCAGAGATCTGAAGTTCCAAATCCAAACCATAAGGCTTTCACTCATCTCAAGGTACGCCACTTCCCAGACTGGCCACTAGGTGGCAAAAACGAGAAATGCCAAAGTAAGTGATACTGGAACTATAGCTCAAAGAAAACAGCAACGACACGCAAGAACTTATTGCCTTGGGAACAACTTAAAATATTAGCAGTGGGTATGCAGGGTTGCAGCTAAGACATCATTTGAGATGTCATCCTGATTCAGAATGCCGAGATCTGAATCCTGGCTCCACATTCCATTTCAGCTTCCTTGGGAGGCAGCAGTGATGGGCCAAGTATTTGGGTCTCAGCCACTCATGTGGGAGACTAAGATTGAGTTCTGGGCTCCTGGCTTGAGCCTGGTCCAGTTCCAGCTGTGGCAGCCACTTGGGGAATTAACCAGACGATAGACCAGAGATAGACCAGAGATCTCTCTCTTGCTCTGCATTTGAAACAAAAACTAATTTTTAAAAAACTGCTAATATTTATTTTAATAATCTACAAACAATCCTGCATAAATATTATCTGTTATGGTGTAGAGGTCTGTGAATTCTGAAATATTGGAGGCTGGTGTCAAGCTGCCAGAAAGGCAGAGCACAGTGTCAGTTTGGGTCCCAGTTGCTTTTTCTGATCCGGTTCACTGCTCATGTGCCTGGCAGAGCACACAGGAGGACCCAAGTGCTTGGGCCCTGACCACCACGTGGAAGCCCAGACGAAGCCTCCTGGTTCCTGCCTTTGGCCTGGCCTATACCTAGCCATGTGTCCATTTAGACGGGCATCAGTGGACAGAATATCTCTTACTTACTCTGCCCTTCAAATAATAAATATCTTTAAAAAAAAAAAAGATTCGCTTATTTGTATTGGAAAGGCAAATATACAGAGAGAAGGAGAGACAAGGAGGAAGATCTTCCGTCTGATGGCTCACGCCCCAAGTGACAGCAATGGCCAGAGATGAGCCGATCTGAAGCCAGGAGCCAGGAACTTCTTCCAGGTCTCCCACACGGGTGCAGGGTCCCAAGCTTTTGACCTGTCTTTGGCTGCTTTCCCAGGCCACAAGCAGGGAGCTGGATGGGAAGCAGGGCTGCCAGGATTAGAACCGGCGCCCATATGGGATCCCGGTGCATTCAAGGTGAGGACTTTAGCCACTAGGTTACCATGCCAGATCCCAAATAATAAAATCTTTTTTTTTTCCCAAATAATAAATCTTTTTTAAAAATCTGAAACTCTTACCTATTGAGTACTTTGGAATTGAGCAAGAGAGTAAATAATATTTAGAATCAGGGTAACCAATGTAAAAAATGAAAGATAAAACCATAGGTCAAGGAAAGACAAGCAAAACCTTGGTAGAGCTTTGGCTGTTGTGGCCAACTGGGAAGGGAAGCAGCAGATGAAATATCCTTC